AGTGTATTTTTCTACACAATTAGTAAATTTGATATAATGGATATAATCACTGAACAATAATTGCAAAAGATGCATTCTTTTTAAGCATTCTTTTAACAATTGGCTGTGCCCTAGGCAATAGAGCAGGTCTCAAAAAAGACCAAAATTCTGAATCATTCTGGTCACAGTGGAATTACTTTAAAACTCAGTAATAAAAGTGTAACTGCAGATCCAAATTTAAAAGCACACTTGTAAATAACTCATGTAGAAAAGAACAAATGAATATGAGAAATAGAACTGAACTAATGAAAATGCTATATATAACTTGTGAGATGAAGCGAAGGTAAATTTAGAATAAACCGAAATATACATGCATTTAGGTTTGTTGAATTATAAATGAATAACAACTGAAAATGGATAAGCTAAGTAGATGAAATAAAATATTCATGAAAGAATAAAGTTAACTACCCCCCAAAAGAAGGGAGAAATAATAAAGCTCACAGAAATTAAGGAATAGAAAACAAAAAGTAACAAAATGCAAAGATATTCTTTGCAAGCACTCAAAAAAGGAAATAAACTTTTAGCAAAACTGATTGTGGAAAAAGAATTTGAATGACTGATACATTAGAAAATGAGCAAACTTGTTTAATAAAGAAACCCACAGAAAAAGAAATCCCAAGTGTAAAAAAACATGAGGAAATGCTCAGCTCTATTAGTAATGAAAATTGTAAATTCAGGTACTAGTGAGATACCACTTCCCATTCATCAAAATTGGTAAAATATAAAAAGACTCAAAATACCAAGTTCGGCAAAGATGGGTAGTATCAGGAGCTCTCATGTACCACTGGTGTATGTATGAATTGGAAAGTAGTTTTGAAATATCTAGTGAGGTTGAAGATACACACGCCCTACAACCTAGCAGTTCCGCTCCCTGTTGTAGCCCTTCAAATAGCTCTCACACATGTGTGCAAGAATGACCGTTGGGCATTATTTTTAATGGCAACAAGTGTAAGAAACTGAAGGCCATCACTAGAACATTGGGTAAGGTGTGATAATTCAGTTCAAAGTGTATGTATCAAGATGGTTAAATATGTTGAACTTTGGGGAGGGGGAGTTGCAGAAGAAATGTGTCTGATTCATTCATACAAAGTTTTAAAGTGTGTGAAGAAATACCTTATCAATTTACTTACATGGTAATTGTGATTTATAATAAATACATATTTGGTCTTCATCCCCATTCTAACACAGAACCCTTGTACTTTCCTAAAGAGTGCTAAAGGTGTCTTTTGTTATGTTACTGGTGACTTGTAGAACCCACCTAAGGATGGGCAGCTGCTTGCCTAGAGGACCAACAGTGTGATTAGAGAGTTGGAACTTTCACTCTCACCTACCCCTCACCCTCCCAGACGTAGGGGAGGGGAGAGGGGCTGGACGCTGAATAAATCGCTAATGGCCAGTGATTTAATCAGTCATGCCACTGTAATGAAGCCTCTATAAAAACCTAAAAGAAGGGGATTGGGAGAGTTTCCAGGCTGGTAAACAGTTGATTTAGGGAGAAGGTTGTGGGAACTCCTAATCCGTAGCCCGTCAGAAATACAGGTAATAATTTGGACTAGCATCTGAAGTACAAGGAAAGGGTAGATAGGAACCTCCAATCTATAGATTATACAGCCTGGGGTTATGACTGGCATCTGAAAAGGGGGTTAGGTTGAGGCAGTCTTGTAGGACTGAACCCTTAACCTGTGGAATTCTAATTCTGTGTGCTCTCTTGGTATAGAGTTAGAATTGAGTGTATTGTGGGACACCCAGCTGGTGTCCAGAGCATTGTTTGTTATTGGTGTGGAAGCCACCCTGCCTACATACCCAACAGGTTGGAATTGGGTCTAGGAACCTAAAATATTATATGTAATAAAACTTTTAAAACATGCATGGAAATAATAAGCACAAAGTTCAGCATGGTAATTACCTCTGTGGAGAGAGAAAAGAAAATGTGTTTGAGTAGATAAAACTAAACAAAAAATTCTGAAGTATATATATACAAGAAGTTATGATTCGGGGACACCTGGGTGGCTTCTGCCTTCAACTCAGGTCATGATTCCAGGGTCCTGGGATCGAGTCCCACATCGGGCTCCTGGCTCAGCGGGGCACCTGCTTCTCCTTCTGACCCTCTCCCCTCTCATGCTGTTTCTCTCTCTCTCTCTCTCAAATAAATAAATAAAATCTTAAAAAAAAAAAAGTTATGATTCAGGGGCACCTGGGTGGTTCAATTGGTTAAAAGCCACTCTTGGTTTCAGCTCAGGTCATGATCTCAGAGTCATGAGATCGAGCCCTGTGTCAGGCTCCACACTCTGTGTGGAGTTTGCTTAAGTTTCTCTCTCCCTCTGCCCCTCCTCTGCACACATGTGCTCTCTCGCTCGCTCTCTCGCTCTCTCAAATCTTTAAAAAATAGACATGTTAGTATATTATTGTACTTTTGTTCATGCTTGAAATATTTTATATTAAGATAACACTACATTAAATCACTTTATGGAAGAATAGTGGAACTTGAGACTAAGTTATTGCCCTTAAGTAAGAGAATGAGCTGCTTTTTAGAACGAATAATGGAAGTATAATGTCATCATTCACCACCCACCACCACACCTCTCCCAATCTCTCCAAATCCCCCACAATCATACCTTTTTACACAAGGAAACTGAAGCCGCCTTTGGTAACAGATCACTGTAGGAGCCACCACCAGGTTTCATCTGTAAGCCTTGAGCATAGGCAGGTGAAAAAGTACATTCATCGACAGTCTATGAGGGCAAGAAAAGGAGAACTTCAGAGTACAAGAACCACAGGTGTTTTCAGGTTATTTGCCTCACGATTCCCAAAGGTTTTACGGGGTTTTTTTGTTTTTTGTTTTTCAAAATAAGTAGCTGTACTCTTTTTTTCCTCATTAAAATATAACTCAGGGGCACCTGGCTGGCTCAGTTGGTAGAGCATGCGACTCTTGATGTCAGGAGTTGTGAGCTTGAGCCCCATATTCAGTGTAGAGATTACTTAAAATTTTTTTAAACATAATTCATATTTTTTTAAAAACTCTAAATAAAATCACCCACAATTGCACCTTCTAATAATTACTATAGATATCTTAGTCTGTATCTTACTCATATGTATATATAGTGTTTACCCAAAAGAGCACACTCTACATTTTTGTTTTTCACCTACTTTTTATGTTATGATGTTATCTTAGAAATAGTTCCATGTCTGGAAAAAAAAAATCTGTCATGTGTTTTGATGGCTGAATAGCATTCTACTGTGTGGTCATGCCATAATGTATTTAACCAAACCACTGTTGGTTTTTCCAGTTTTTGCTTATATTCAATACTGTGGTGAACACACTACACATGCATCTTTGAATACTCGTCCATTTGTTTATTTGGAATAAGTTCTTAGAAGGAGATTTGCTGGCTCAAAGGGATTGCGTAATACATAGTAAGGCTTACAGAATATAAGTTTCCAGCGGGCTGGAGACTCAGGCAGGAGTTGATGCTGCAGTCCTAAAGCAGAATCGCCTCGTCTCTCAGTAACCTCAGTTGCTGCTCTTATCTGTCCCTCCATATCGATAGATACTAGTTCTTTGTCAAATATATATTTTGCATACATCTTCTCTTAGTTTGTGGCTTTGCCTTTTTACTTTCTTCGTGGTATCCTTTAATGAGGAGAATTTCTTAATTTTAACGTAGTCCATGTAATTTTTTCTTTCATAATTAGCTCGCTTTTGAGTCCTCTTTAATCTTTGTCTATTAAAAGCTCTTTTTATGTTTCCTTAGTTTCATCTGTATTTAAAAGTGGAAAGGGGGCATAATTCACATTACCCGAAACTTTTCCATGGATCCTGTGTTGTAAGATATTTTGCAATTTAGGTATTAATCTACCAAACATTCTTATCTCCTGCTGGGAACAGCACCTCCTGTCTCTATTTTGGGGGAACTTCTCAGAGCCCACCTGTTGTAGCATGTGACATTCTTGGCCACAGATGTAAGCTCTTGACCCAAATTGGGCTAATGTTACTTTTACCCCTTAGCCTTGGTGATTGGTGCAAATACGGCCTCATGACTCAGGGTGGGACAGCCAGGGAGGTGACTGAGAGCTGTTTGCAACTGTGGTTCTAGGTCAACCAGACTGCCCCACAAGAAAATGAAGCCAGTTTCAAAAGAGAAGTAGAATGGAGAGACAGCGGATCTTGGCAGTGTTAAGTCACTGGCTGCCTAAAACTCATTTACCCTGGACCTTCCTGTGGGTTTGGTTACAGTAAATTCTCAACATTTATTAAAATCTTTTTTTCTTTTGCTTTAGTTAAAGGTTAAAATAAGCATGCTTTAAAATGTAGTTCCATGGGGCTCCTGGGTGGCTCAGTTGGTTAAGTGTTGGACTCTTAATTTCAGCTCGGGTCAGGATCTCGGAGTCGTGAGATCCAGCCCCACGTGGGCTCTGCACTGAGCCTGGAGCCTACATAAGATTCTCTCTGTCCCTCTGCCCCCACTACCTTGCCCTCTCCCACACAAGCGCACACTCTCCCTCTCTCTCTCTCTAAAAAAAATAAAATAATATATAATTCCATGATCATATAAGTTTGAGAATGTTCCTGTTGTCTTACCCTTAGAGATTCACAAAGTATGTTAGCCTATTAAAGGTCATAAGAAAACATGCAGTAGAAGAAGCCTGTTTATCTTTAGTTAACCCAGTAATTCTCAAACTTGTTTTTGATGTGAATGCTTTTTTATGGTGCTTCTATTAATATCTCATAGAATCTTGGCCAGCAGATTGTTGGTTTGGGAAATGCTGGATCATAGGCATGGAAGGCCTAACTGCAAGCTGACAGATGAAAGGTGCTTTAATCCCTGAGCTAGGTTTTGAAAAATGCTGACATTTAATAATTTATGAGCAAAGCATGTTATCTTTAAAATTTGGCAAAGAGTCTTCTGATAAAAAATAAAAGAAATTTAATGCAAGCAATCTGCAAACCTTTTCTTGTACAGGTTAGCCAATACACATTTGCTATGTGCAGTTATAGAGAAAAAAAGTCTGAACCACAAGAACTAATGCAACTTGAAGGATACACTGTGGATTACACAGACCCCCACCCAGGTAATTCTAAATTGTATCGCTTTCTCTGCCATTCATGTATTGATGAAATTCTCATAAATATCCTGTCTCTGTTCTAGGTTTCAAACTCCATTGAATGAATAGAGGGCATATTTCATTTATGTACCTAGACAAGACTTCATGAGATTCAAAGTATATCTTTCTGAGGGCTACTTAGCTTTAGCCATAACTCCTCATTTCTGTTATCTTTAAGACAACGATACAATATGTGAAAGTTACTGTAATAGAAAAATTATATGAGAAATATCAGCAATGCTTATATGAACTTCTTACTGGAAAGCCAAAATGTAAAAGAGACAGAAATAGGGAAGGAAGCAGCAGATGAATTTTTGTATATTCTACCAATTTTTTTCCCCATATCACATTCTTAAATTCTCTCCCTACTTCCATATTAATACTACGTATGTACTAGATGCTTGGTATCTAACATTGGTGAGGGAATGAATTAATATGTGGAGGTTAATGAAATTAATAAAGCAATACTAAGAAATATGTAGATTTAATACAGAGATTAGGAATTTAATATGGAGAGATTAAAAGTAGGAATCTGTGATCCCATTCACTAATTGGTCACAGAAAAATGCAAAATAGCTTCTTTGTCAAAGAATTTTGCAAAGGATAAAATACCATACAGATACAAGTATCGTTTTTGCCCTACCTGTGTTTCTTTTCTGCTAAAATCACCATATATTTCTCCTGCATGTAGAATGAGAAATGTGCCAAAAGATAAGACTTTCTTCTCTGGCCTGAGTTTGCAGACTGTGCTATATATTTCTATGGAGTAGGTTTTTATGGCTTGCAGAATGTTACTGTGTCATGAACTGTTCGTTTCCTTAAGCTGTTTTTAATTTTTAAAGTTATATGGAAGTTTAAACCTTTCTCCTGTTAACAGCATTGAGCTACCAATGTCAAACTGATTCTCTTCCATGTGACTGTTTAGTGCATGAGCTTGAAATCTGCCAATTATGTAAGTTTTTAATGACGTCTTTCTTCCTCCACAGGCCTTCAGGGTGGTCATATGTTCTTTAATGCAGTTAAAGAAGGAGACACTGTGATATTTGCCAGTGATGATGAACAGGATAGAATATTATGGGTTCAGGCCATGTATAGGGCCACAGGTCAGTCATATAAACCCATTCCTGCGATTCAAACCCAGAAACTGAATCATAAAGGTGGGACTCTCCATGCAGATGCTCAGCTTTGTAAGTTTTGTTGAAAAATAATTGGATTATCAATTAATAACCTTAATAAGATATAAAATTGAGACACATTTGTTCAGTATCATAGTTTACATCATTAATGAATTCCTAATTGAATAAAAATCATTTGTATTAGTAGCCATAGAATCAACTCTCTAATTTTTTCACACAGATCTGGAATAAATGTTGCGTGGGTTTTCAGTCCTGAATTTGCCAAGCATTAGGGTATATCTGGGAATCTCCAGAACATATAAGAAAACACTAAAACTTCTCCAATAAAATTTATTTAAACTTACTGTTTTACCTTACATGTTCTATAAAAATGGGAAAAGTATTACAAAATCAAATAAGCATTGATAGGACTCCAGAACACCAAAATGATGAACCATCACTTCCTAGGGTTGTTCTTAATAGTCCAGAAGGATAATAGGGCTATTTTCTGTTGTAGATTGATAAAAAAGAGCAAGTCATCAAGCCAACTTTATCTAAATACCTTAGTATTCATGTCATCCTTTGTATGCTAATTTAAATCATTTAAAAAAATTTATTTTTCATTTGAATCTATAAGTGATTAATAACAAATGATGTACTAGTTATAGAAATATTTTCAAACACAGCTTTAATAATCATTAAACCAAATATTCTAACTTGTTACACTCCTTTGCAAAGCTTCTTTGGTCTCATCTGTAATGTCAGTTTTTCTATGACTTTAAATTCAATTTTTTACTTTTCAGTTAAAAGGTTCTACTATTAAGGTTCTTCTCCAGGGGAGTAACATCTTGACATGCATTATTTTCGTCTTGTATTTTTCTCGTATCAAATAACTTCTCTCTTTTCACTATCACGTCTGGGCATCTTCATGGCACATTAAGCCAAAAATTAAAGATGGAATATGAGCTCAAGTCCAGCTACCTTTGTGTTTCAGGGTTAGAAGTATACCTCTTTAAACTTACCACAGTCCATCTTCATAGCACTTCATCAATAGTATATGCAGCTTAAAATAGTATACTTCCATTTCTCCCCTTCTAGCCTCTAGACTATTCTTGTCCTACATTTTACTTCTTCACATATTATAAATCCCACAATACCTTGCTATTATAATTATTGCCTTAACAGTCAATTACCTTTTAGGGAAATTTAAATAGTATGAGAAAGTATTTGTTATATACTTACCCAAGTAGTTACCAGTTCCAGTGTTCTCCGTTGTCTTGTAGAAATCTCTTACTTCTTGGGGCGCCTGGGTGGCTCAGTTGGTTAAGCGTCTGCCTTCGGCTCAGGTCATGATCCTAGGGTCCTGGGATTGAGCCCCGTATCAGGCTCCCTGCTGGGCGGGGACCCTGCTTCTCCATCTCCTTCTGCCTGCTGCTTCCCACTTGTGCTCACTCTCTTGCTCGCTATCTCTCTCTCTCTCTCTGTCAAATCTTTAAAAAAATATATTTCTTGAAAGACTTCTTGTGACTTAAGTGCAAGTCTGGTGGTGATTCTTTTAACTTTCTTACATATGAAAAAGTAATTTACCTTCATTTTGAAAGAAAATTTCTTTCAATACTTTAAAGATTTTGCCTCATACTCTAACACCTTGTTTAATAATGAGAAATGTGTTCATTTTTGCCTGTTTCTATGTACATAATGTATTTTTTCCCTCTAGCTGCTTTAAAGATTTTCTCTTTAACACTGGTGTTGAGCAGTTAGTTTATAATGTGCCTTGATGTAGTTTTCTTCATGAAAATGTCCTTGAGTTTTATTCTAAGACACACTTAAGTCACTTGGAAACAGTTCAATCTTTTCAGGTTTTACTCTTAAGTTTTGTTAGGTGGAACTAAATAGTGTCTAGTCTTGGATTAATTTTCCCCATTTCGGGACCACGATTCTTCTTAAAGACTCTAAGCGATGACCCATGAATTTTGAGGTTTCCTACTGACTGTTGAGAACAAGTACTATTGCAGGCTCTGTGTGAGTTTTCGGCACTGCCCCCTCTCATCCTTTAGGATGATTTCTTCTCTGGCCAGAGGTGGTCTCCTCACATGTGTGAAGCAATCAGTATTCAACTGAATATGGAAAGAGGAAGGGGTAGGAAACCATATTCTTGCAGGCAGACTCTAGCCATTTTGACCTTCCTGAATTGTCAGGTCCGTCTTCTCAACTTGGGGAGCACACTAGTGCTTTGTGGGTTCTTGTTCCCTGTGCCTCAGCTTTGAAAGTTTTTCCGGGTCTTAACTTGATCCTCAGCTCACCACATTTGTTTCCTGTTTCTCAGGAATCACTCTCCTGGGTTGTCTGATGTCCAATGTTTTGAGAACTATTTCTTTAATGTATTTTTTTCTGAATTTTTAGTTGTTTCAGGTAGGAGGTAAATCTGTTCTCCATGACTGCATCCTGACAAGAAACAGAATGATTGTTTTTTGTAAGTTAGAGTAAGATTTCTCAACCTCGGCACTAACATTTTGGACCAGATAATGCTTTGTTTCAAGGGTTGCCAGGAGGGCTGTCCTGTGAATTATAGGATGCTTAGCTTCATCCTTGGCTTCCACTCACTAGATTCCAGTAGCAAACCATACCCCCCCCACCTGATAACCAAAAATATCTTCAGACATTGCCAAATGTTGGGGGGGGCAGAGTTAAAGATGGGCTAGAAACACCCTCATTTGAGAACCACTTGAACATTATTTTTGTGAAAAGGTCTCCTCACTTGTGTTTCAGTATTTTTTTTCATATCCTAAGTGCAAGAAATACCCAACCCCTGGCCTAGAACATTAAGGCCATGACTATGCAATATAGAATTAATGAATATAAGATCTAGTAATCAGTTGATTCAAATAACCATGTACTCTCTTTCTCACAAAACCTTTCTACGATCAGATATCAGCCTATTGTCAAAGCAGTGTTGATTAGGCTAAGTGGGATGGAGTTTTCTAGCCCCTTGATTCACTTGTTCCAAAAAATCCAAACTTGTTGTAAAAAGCCAAACTGTTTTGGTTATGTTAACAACAGCTTTCCTGTATTCCAGATGTTTAGTAAAGTTTTCTTTTTTTTTTTTAAGATTTTTATTTATTTATTTGACAGAGAGAGAGACAGCGAGAGAGGGAACACAAGCAAGGGGAGTGTGAGAGGGAGAAGCAGGCTTCCCGCAGAGCGAGGAGCCCGATGCGGGGCTCGATCCCAGGACCCTGGGATCATGACCTGAGCCGAAGGCAGACGCTTAACGACTGAGCCACTCAGGCGCCCCTTTAGTAAAGTTTTCTATCACAGAAGACCCTGCTGTTTCATCTTTCTTTAAAAAGGTGGGGGGAGGGGAGGAAGGAAGAAAAATGTGTTTGTACCTCATTGAATGAGAATACTGATCTTGACCTCTCGCAGAGAAGCCACCCATTGGACTTCTCCAGAGAGTAGTTAGCGCTTAGTATTTTCTTCCCTTCTGCGATTTCCCTGGCATTTCCTTTTCTTCTTTTTTGATCACCTCTAGGAAGAACAACTTTTAGAGTCATTAGTAGAAAGTAAGAAAATGATATGAAATTAAAATGACTAGTTATAGAAGTCAGTATGCTCCTAATCCATTTAAATATGCTTTTTCATTCCTTTGCTGACCTATAGCTGGTAAGGGTAAGTATTTTCATGATTTTTTTTTTTTGCTTCATTGTATTAAAATCTTTATAATAATGTGATTTTTAAAGGAATATCATGATCTTGTTTACAGTGTCAGTCTCCTACTTTCTAGACAAACCCAGAATATTTAGGTTAACTTTACCATTTATGAAAAAAAGTTCATTTTTGCCACAAGAGTAAAGTGGAAACAACCTAATATCTACCATTCATGTGGGAATAAAGGTAATGGCTGTGAAGGTGTTATGATAGCATGGAAAAGAAATACTCAGTAATGTTAAGTGGAAAAATACTAAATTATGTATGTGATATTATAACTGCTAAAAAATTTTATAAATATAAGTAGAATTTATACCTAAACTATTCACAATGGATGAGTTTAAAGGGTTTAGTTACTGATTTATTTCCTCTGTTTTCTGAATTATCTTTGAAGTATCTGTTATAACTTAAAAACTAAACACACTGACTAAATGTTGAGATAGAACAAAATAATAAATTTCCAAAGTCTACCTTATTTGAAGGCAACCTTATCTGTTTTAGGATATAAATGATGGTATGTATTTACAGATTTTTCTGGTACGTGAATCTATTTGACTTCCCTGTTTGTTTGATTTTCAGGATATTTAGAAATTCTAAGAAAATAGGGTAAACTGAATGGGTAGGGTCGGGGGTCTGCTTGCTATCCAGATTTTCTGCTTCAGACAGTGCATTGCCTTTTGCCAGACTGACAGACATTCTTTGGTTAAACTATCCTTCACTATGCAAAGCACCTGTTTTTCATTTTTCTCTCTTCTGTATATAATGCAATGCAATATGTATGTAACATAATACAACACAACACAGTACTAATTGACTTCCAATAATAAAGAAATGTCAAAAATGAACCAGAAAAGTTACCTTCTTTTTAAATCAAATTTTAAAAAAAAATTCTTAAATTGGAATATAAACTTACATTTAATTTTATGAGCTTATTTTCTTGATCTAGTAAGATAATTTCACACTTCATAGGTATGTTTTACTTTACATTGAATATATTATTTCACGTAAATGTTGAATACTGGTTTGCTTTGCTTATGATTCTAGGTCTGTATGTGTTGATTAAAATTGTCATGCGAAAATACTAGTTGTTATTTGCCCCAGAAAGCAAGATGTGTAAATTCATACATCCGTTTTTAGTCAATTTAACAAAAACAAGCTAAGAAATTATTTGGGTCAATAATAGAGATGTGAACAAACTCCTAATTAATATAGGTATTGACGTTTCTCTTTGGTGTTCAGCATAAAATGTGTACATAAAAAATATCAACCAAGATAATCTACATAGAATTTTGTAACATAAAACTTCCTATTAATGGCCACATGGGTGCTATAAAAATACATGAGGTCCTTCCCTGTGCCATGTTTACCTTCTTGTGAATTTTCAAGCTCAGAGTTTGAGCGACAAGGAAAGTATAATCAGATGTGGTATGGTAAATGCAGCTACGGGCAAGCTCTTAAACATAGGACAATTTTAAACCAAGTTATTGTATTTCAAAAGATTCATATGCTGCTTAGTTCAGTTCAGGATTTTGCAGAGGAGCAGATGAGCTCTTAGGTAGCAGCGCCTTCTTCATAGTCCTTTTGGTACTTGAGTCCCAGGCCTGGACACCTGAGTGGTCTCAGAATGCTAATGAACGGCCACCTCTTCTCCTGCAGTATCCCATTTGCCTCTCCCCTGCTTCCTTTTCCTCCACTGTTTTATATCCCTAATTTCTCTCAACACCAGGAGCAGCAGGAAAAAAAAGAAAAGAAATGCAGCATCCTTAGAATTAGTTGCGAAGGAAGAAGAAACATTTCAGTTAAATTTTTCCCCATCTCACATTTGGAACTCTGACTTAGATGCCTGTCCTGGTCTTGGATTCTGGAGCACATAGGGGCTGGCCGTGGTCAGTGCCCACCAAAGAGCCCCCTCGCGCACACCACAGCGGGGCCTACCAGGTTACTAATAGTCCTCACGTTGTTTTGTAGGCTAGCTATTTTCAAGTCAGTGTTAACTGTTTAAATTGGTACCATCAGCCTACTTATTCTTTTCCCTTGATTTCCAACAGCTATTACCCTAATTAAAAATTTAAATTTTCAGGTTCCATTTGAATAAGCTTCTATAATTCCGTAAATCTATAGCAAATAATAATCTTTCTCAATTTGGGTTTTATTCCATCCACTTCTTCCACACCTGGTGACAGTACCACCTAAAGATGCTGGAGCATATATCCAATTGTTACCGTAGAAACTCTCCACCAGTATCCTCAATTACCATGTCCCACATCTGTAGTTAGTCCATAGGTTAATCATGACAATTTATGACAGTTTTGCTGTGCATTGTTCAAGCTCATATCTTGTTGGTTTCTTTTGATAATTTTCTTACATCGTTTTGGAAGACAAACTGAACTGAAATTTGTCATTATCAGTGAACATTTGATTAGTGCCATGAATAATTTTTCATTTAAAACTAGTCACCATAATTTTGTGTTTTAATAAACATTAATTGAAGATAATCGAGCATAACCCAGTTTTAAAGCAAGTCTCCAAGCCTTGCATTTGGTTATGTGATTGATTGAAAGCACAGTTCATTTGATCCAGATGATATCTCTGTGTTTTCTAAGAGTAGATGTTGATATGTTATGCCAAGAGAAAACTATATGAAAATACCATTTTACAGAAATAAAAAACTAGGTAATATTTTAACAATAGATGTTTTCTTATTTTACTTTAGTTCATGAGAGGATTTTAAAGTGAAAGATTTCTCACACAGGGAGATCAAAACTGTTGCTTTTTCAAAATTTATTTCTTCATAAATTCATGGAAACTAATGAATCAGTGGTGCATGGTGAAGTATATTTGCATAAAATATTTATTTTTTATTATGTTAATCACCATACATTACATCATTAGTTTTTGATGTAGTGTTCCATGATTCATTGTTTGC